TATGTCCGTCTTCGTAAGTTATTTTAAATTGCATCCAAGTAGAAAAAAATTGCTAAAATATTTAGACAAAATGTGTATGTATATATATATATATATATATATATATATATATATATATATATACAATTAGTAAACATAAATTGATGAAGGGAAAATACTGATGAAATATACTTGAACATTGCATTGGCAAAACGCAGTCTTAAGATTTTTCTTTTCTTAAATCACGCACTTCTCTAAGTTTTGAAAAATATTGAAAGACTTATGTCAATCATTTTGTTTATTATTATTATCATTATTATTATTATTATTATTATTATTAATAATAATAATAATAATAATTTTGTTTTCTGTTTAGTTCAATACATCACCTGAGTTTTTTTCTGAAATCTTGAATAGGGCAAGTTAATAAATAGACGTACGTTTTTTTGTTAAATCCTGACGTAATATATTACAGTATTTTTTCAAAGTATTTCTTATAAAGATGACTGCCAGACACTGCTATTTTTTTTAACACAAATCTTTACTCCGTATAATTAACAGCGGCCACTGGTGATAGAAGGTTATTTTGTGAGGCAATTTCTGTGGATAGGAGAGGAAGATAACGGTTAAGACTAGCCATGAAAGGGTTAAGATTCTAGCGATCGGGGAAACATCCCCATGAGAGTCAGTTCCTCGGAGCAGTGGTTCGCTGGAAAAAAAAAAGCTGGTTGATTAGAACTTATTTCTCACCAATGGAATACGGGGGGAATATGATTGTTTTGCTATGATATAAGTGGCATGGCGTGTCGTTGCCATGAAGGTTTGAAATGGCGGAATGTAATTCGTCTGAGCGCTTTTAATGGAAATAGCGATAGAGAATCGAGTCTTGCCAAATCCCGCGTGTGAGAGATGAATAGGAATGTGGAGAATAATTCCTCCCCCAGAATGGCTTGGGGACCATCTTGAACTCTATCAAGACTGGAGAGTGAGATCTGGTCAGCAATACTCCATTTTTTAGCCTGATATAGTTCATATATAGTTATAGAATAACAGAATTGGTCAGGTACTTACTAGAGGGGTACAGAGGCACAAATACTTTAATTGCATTCTTAGTAATGGATCATATATATGAGCTAAACTTGAGGTCAGGTATAAGTTCGAGGTCCAATTGTCGTTCAAAGCCCGGTGTCTACCCTAGAGGACATCCGTTTACAAAGTATATTGTTCTTGCTACACAGTCACTAATTTGGGACACCACGCTTTGTTCTCATTTAGTATTGTCCAGTAAATGATCGATTTTCCCTCATTCTGAATACGTCAGCACTCCGCGGAAAAAGGATTGAACTCACAATTTCATAGTCATCAAATTTGCAAACAATCGTTTAATCTATATGTATTTTGTTATGAAGAAAGGGAGACATTCCTAGATACGGAGTGTGGAACGATAAAATACCTTCAGATATAATAAAGGGTTCTGTTCGAAATTTTCTGAAAGGACTGCTCCTGAAAAAGTTCGGAACTTACAAAGCAAAAACGTCAAAATAATTGCAACAATGATGGCGCTTCTGTCCCGAAAGTAAGTAACATATGAATGAATTTTACACGCAGAAATTACCAAATAAATTGCATCATATAAAGCTGAACAATCTCCTCACACATAAAGGAGAGACTTGAAGCAACAGAAACAAGGTTATGCAGAAGGATCATAACAAAAAAAAATGAGTGTGACGAGGAGAAAATGTAAAGAAAATGGACATATACTTCACATAACGATGAGAAAGTTGAAATTTCTAGGACACAGTATAGTTAATTAGTTAATTATGTTTAGTGGCATATCAACCTCTGTGTGTTATTTAATGCCAGAATCTGAATATTTTTACACAATCTTATGGCTTTATTATATTTTGATCCCAATTGTATGCCGTCAACTACAGACGCAGACTATTGTTGGCCATTTTGCTATAAATTGAATTATTTTATATTCGACAAGAAAATGAGTCGTTGCGTATTTTACTATAAATAGGTATAGTTAGTAATGTTTTCATATAAAAAATATGGCTGCCATTTTTACATTAAAAATATATTTTTACTCTTTCTTAGTGTTTTATTTGGGGGTGTCACTAATGACCCATAACTGGGATCCTAACAAGTACCATTGGACAGGGTTTATCTGGGGACAACAGATATTTAGAGGTGGTTTCACGACGGTCCTTAAAACC